ATGCTGTCTATCTAGGCATTTATCCTGTGCTGATCATGGGGCAAAGCACGTATCAACGACACCCCTTTTGGTGCAGCCAAAGAAAATGGGAAGAGGCATCAACCTCAGAAAGGGAAAATGTTTCAACAATCAGGCACCATCTTCACTACAAATACAATCAGGTCACAGGACCCAGCTACAACAGGGTGGTCCCTTGACCAGTTATCATGTCTCTGGATTTTTCCCTTTCCTTCCTCCCCTTTTCTCTCCATCTTTACTTTCTTCGGGCCTGATCCAAAGCCCACTGAAGTCAATAGAGGCTTTCCACTGGCTTTAATGGGCCTGGACTATGCTTGTTTTACCAGGGGGAAAGAATCTTAATTGATTTACTAAGTGCATTCCTATTCAGTAAAGCACTTATGTATGTGCTTAACTTTAAGCACAGACATTGGCTTCAGTGGGAATTAAGCATATACTTAAAGTTGAGCAAGTACTTTAAGGGCTTTGGTAATAGATTCATAGATTCATAGATTCTAGGACTGGAAGGGACCTCGAGAGGTCATCGAGTCCAGTCCCCTGCCCGCATGGCAGGACCAAATACTGTCTAGACCATCCCTGATAGACATTTATCTAACCTACTCTTAAATATCTCCAGAGATGGGGATTTCACAACCTCCCTAGGCAATTTATTCCAGTGTTTAACCACCCTGACAGTTAGGAACTTTTTCCTAATGTCCAACCTAGACCTCCCTTGCTGCAGTTTAAGCCCATTGCTTCTTGTTCTATCCTCAGAGGCTAAGGTGAACAAGTTTTCTCCCTCCTCCTTATGACACCCTTTTAGATACCTGAAAACTGCTATCATGTCCCCTCTCAGTCTTCTCTTTTCCAAACTAAACAAACCCAATTCTTTCAGCCTTGCTTCATAGGTCATGTTCTCAAGACCTTTAATCATTCTTGTTGCTCTTCTCTGGACCCTTTCCAATTTCTCCACATCTTTCTTGAAATGCGGTGCCCAGAACTGGACACAATACTCCAGCTGAGGCCTAACCAGAGCAGAGTAGAGCGGAAGAATGACTTCTCGTGTCTTGCTCACAACACACCTGTTAATACATCCCAGAATCACGTTTGCTTTTTTTGCAACAGCATCACACTGTTGACTCATATTTAGCTTGTGGTCCACTATAACCCCTAGATCCCTTTCTGCCGTACTCCTTCCTAGACAGTCTCTTCCCATTCTGTATGTGTGAAACTGATTTTTTCTTCCTAAGTGGAGCACTTTGCATTTGTCTTTGTTAAACTTCATCCTGTTTAACTCAGACCATTTCTCCAATTTGTCCAGATCATTTTGAATTATGACCCTGTCCTCCAAAGCAGTTGCAATCCCTCCCAGTTTGGTATCATCCGCAAACTTAATAATTGTACTTTCTATACCAATATCTAAGTCGTTAATGAAGATATTGAACAGAGCCGGTCCCAAAACAGACCCCTGCGGAACCCCACTCGTTATGCCTTTCCAGCAGGATTGGGAACCATTAATAACAACTCTCTGAGTACGGTTATCCAGCCAGTTATGCACCCACCTTATAGTAGCCCCATCTAAATTGTATTTGCCTAGTTTGTCGATAAGAATATCATGCGAGACCGTATCAAATGCCTTACTAAAGTCTAGGTATACCACATCCACAGCTTCTCCCTTATCCACAAGACTCGTTATCCTATCGAAGAAAGCTATCAGATTGGTTTGACATGATTTGTTCTTTACAAATCCATGCTGGCTGTTCCCTATCACCTTACCACCTTCCAAGTGTTTGCAGATGATTTCCTTAATTACTTGCTCCATTATCTTCCCTGGCACAGAAGTTAAACTAACTGGTCTGTAGTTTCCTGGGTTGTTTTTATTTCCCTTTTTATAGATGGGCACTATATTTGCCCTTTTCCAGTCTTCTGGAATCTCTCCCGTCTCCCATGATTTTCCAAAGATAATAGCTAGAGGCTCAGATACCTCCTCTATTAGCTCCTTGAGTATTCTAGGATGCATTTCATCAGGCCCTGGTGACTTGCAGGCATCTAACTTTTCTAAGTAAATTGGGGCCTTAAAGATCACCTGCAAAGAAAAGGAAAAAAAAGTTTGTGGGTTTTTTCATTAATTTATTTTGCTTCTTTGTGATGTAATAAAGGAGGTCTGCAAGGTTTTCTTTGCCTTTTTAAGAAATCTGCCTTTTGTGCACATTAGAAGTATCAAGTCCTGACTTCCCTGTTTTTGCTGGAGGATTCCTTGGAGGACTGGAGAACTTATGGGAACGAGACACCAGAAGAAAGCGGAGACGACAACCTGAGCATCTGTGAGAGGAGGGGACTTTTAGTGGGATTTTTGCTGGTTTGTGCTAACATCTATTTAACTCAAACTCCTGACAAACAAATGGGAGGGGAAAGCTTTGTTGGTGAAGGACTCAGTAAGCCTATGCCATTGGTCGAGGTCTGAGAAAGTTCCCACTCCATTTCTCAAAGCCTCTAGCAACACAGGGAAGACAAGACTTTGTATCCTTGTTAGTTCTAAGGTACTAAAATGATAGAACAGAACTTTTTTTTTGGAGGGGGGACAGGCAGGGGAGAGGAAATAGACTAAGCAGGCCTACTTTATGCAGCATAAAAAAAGCAAAAAAGGGCATTGGCACCTTTTTTTTTCAGCTTACATTTAAAAATACAAATGAAGGCCCTGGTCTTGTATGTAAGCAATTTTGGACTTAATCCAATACCCACTGAAGTCAGTGGAATAACTCCCATTGACTATATTGGATCAGGCCCACGGTTAGTCCCATTAAAGTGAATGGGACTACTGACAGGCATAAAGTTATGAACCTGGTTGAGGGTATTCAGGATCAGGCCATAAATCTGTTTGATAAAGCCCATATTCAGGAAAGAACCCGTAAAAATGACATCTTGACAGCCTTGCTGTCAGAGTGCAGATTAACAGAGCAGGAAACCACTTGGAAGTGAATGTACAAAGGGGAGATGGGCTCAGGAAAGACAAAGCAATATATCTGCCAAAGAGCATTGGGCTTATCATCCTTCTTTGATGTAATCCACAGTGCAGCTCACTCAGATGATACCTAATTAGAAAATACCTCCAAATTGCTGCAGGGAAAATACATCCTAGCACTTTCATCATAGGACCTGGTTTCTGTAATAGAGACTAGAATGCTTATTTCTGATGACCCTTGCCCCAGTCACTCCAGTTATCTCAGCTACCTCTGATTTTCATATCCTGCGGTTTTATTTCTCCAGTTTAAGCACAGTCACATGCTTCTCTGATCTCCTGCAAAATGATTCAGGAAGAATGGGAAGAATAAAGGCTCATATGGATTAACTCATGATTTTATACACCTACTGTACCACAGCAAACCAGCTCATTACTGTATAATGTAACACTACCTCATTATTATTATTTATATTGTGGTAGTACCCAGGGCCCCAGTCAGGGATCAGATAACACATGTAAAACACACATAACACAAAGATGGTCACTCTCCAAAGAGCGTACAATCTAAGTATAAGATGAGAGGTAACAGGTGCATACAACAAATAGACTGGTGGAGTACAAGCTAACCGTGAGATAGACAGCGATGGAACTAACAATGGTCTCAGTTTTAATTTGCTCATTGGTTGAGTACTCAGCTCTTCGAAAGTTTCACTAGTGGTGATACTTACATACTTAACTGTGGGAGGTGGAGAGGTTTGTGAGGTTTAATTCAATAATGTTCATAAAGCATTTTAGATCCTCTTATGGAAGGCGCTAGGGAAGCTATTATTGTTTTAGCTTCTTTTAAAAGACACTGCTGATACCAATGTGCTTTTGTGGGTACATAATTATTTATTCTCAAACACCCAAAAGCATGCTAGGCATGCCACAGAAACAGGTAACAAAATACATGAAATAGAATGTTTAAAAAAATTAGGCATCTGCTACAAATGGGGAGGGGGAGAACTGTCCGATTCCTGCCTCCTTTGTGGCAGAAAGTGGAAGGTGGGAAGTAAATGAGGAATGAAAAATTTCAGCCTCAATGGTTAAAGTTTGGCAAAGTTATAAGCAACTGAAAACAGGGTCTTATAATGGGATGTGCTGGGCAACCTCAATACAGGTCGTGCTACTGTAACCCACACACCTCCTGGGTGTGGTGTTCTGTCCCATCTAGTGGCACCAAGACCACTTAAAGAGAGAGGTTAATGAGTTTGCTCTACAGCCTTAGCTAACAGGCAGTGGGCTTTTAGCTCATTTGGTAGAGGCTCATGCACTAAGCTCCAGAGGCCCCAGGTATGATCCTGATGACCCGGGTCTGTTGGTGTTACAAGTGAGGGCTCATCCAGGATTTTAACTGGGAAGTCTCTGAAGCTCAGGATGTGCTTCCTCAGCTAGGAGAAGTATGTAACCCACACACCTCCTGGGTGTGGTGTTCTGTCCCATCTAGTGGCACTGAGACCACTTAGAGAGAGAGAGTTAAATGAGTCTACTCTACAGACTTAGCTAAGAGCCAGTTGGCTTTTGGCTCCTGCACTAAGCTCCAGAGGTCCTCGGTTTGATCCCAGGGCTGACAGCTGGGGTCTGTCGGTGTTACACTACCAGTCCTGCTGATAATATAATTACAATGTATTATTTGTGACGCCTTAGCCCTGTGCAAGTCACCACTATCCATGCTCCAAACAATTTACAATCTAGCAAGACAAGATGCAATGGGAGAACCCAGCAGAAAGCCTTACTCTAGAGCACTTCCCCTCTCTGTGATGTGACTGGACTCCTTCACCTCCTGGCGGGCCTGGTTACTCACCTGTTTGCTTCCCTGTTACAGCTAAATTGCCAGAACCTCCTTCGCGCCTCCAGCGGCCCGTGGCAGGAGCACGTTCTCTCCTGGCATGCCCGGGTGGAGCCAACCGGCGCATTCCAGCCAGGAGGGAGGCAGGCAGGGCTCCCTCCCTTCCACCCAGGCTCGCTGGGATTCTCGGCGGCTCAGCCGGGGAAGGTGGCTCTGGGCCCTCGAAGCTCGTGTACTGATGCCACTGGCTGCGCCCAGTACAAAAATTAACCTGTCTCTGGCACAGGGTCCGCAAAGGCGCGGGACTACAACTCCCAGCATCCCCCCCACGGGGCGGCACAGCCGCGGCGACCACAGCCCGGGTGCCCCCCGGCCCCTTTTGCAGAGGAGCTCAGGCTGAAGGGGCGCGGGGGAGGGCGTCTTTGCGGTGGCCCTGAGCCCCCCTCCCTCGCTGGCTCCCCCCAGGCTGTGGGGGGCTGAGGGCGGCTCCCCTTGGCCTCTCCAGCCTGCAAAGGGGAGTTTCCAGGAAGTGGCCATATTGGATTCATTCAGCCGCATCGATCCGGGGAGAAGAGCGGGGCTCCGGCAAGGCAGTTTCCCGGCCAGAGACCCGCACCAGGACCCCCCGCTCCGGCCATGGCTGCCACGGACTTGGAGCGCTTCTGTGTGAGTGCGAAGCCCCGCTCGGCGCTGCCCGGCGGGGCGGGACAGGGCAGGGCGCTGGGGCTCCGGGCAGCTCGCCCCCAGCCCGGGCTGCAGGCGGGGCGGGAGATGATGTGTCACTCGCCGCTTTGTGCCAGGGCGCACGGGAAGTTTGGGGACCGCTTCCCCCTGGGGCCGCACCGGCAGCCGCTGCCCGCCTCTGGCCCCGAGGGCGGAGGAGGGGAGCGCAGCCCGGAGCAGGGCTCAGCCTCCCCTGCAGGGAGCTTGCGGCCAGGGGTCCCGGCTCTCCGCCAGCCCCGGGGCGCACAGCCCAGCCCAGCGCGCAGGGACCGTCCCTCTCTCCCGTGCCCAGCAGCGGCTCTCCCAGCGAGCCCAGGCCCTGAGGGCTGGAGGGTTGAGCCCCAGTGTGGGTGTAAAGCCCGGACCCGCGCCCTCCCCGGGCTGGGCTCTGCTGCAGTAGGATGCTCTGGCACTCAGGCTGCAGGAGGGACAAGGGGAGGGGGCGGTGACAGCGGGGCGCCTGGCGTTGCTAGTACGCGGGGATCAGGAACTGATCCCCCGTTGGGCTTTCGCTGGGAGTGGGGAGTGCTGAGCTGAAAGGAGTGCTGATCCGGGGCGGGGAGGTGATCAGGATAACGCCTTCAAGAAGAGGGCTTGGGTCTGTGCAGAGCTGGGCATTTGCAGACGTGTTGCAATGTTTAACTCTACAAACCCGAACGGTTCTTCTGTTGCATTTCGCAAGTTCTGACACAACAAAGGGACAGTCCCGCTGAATTTAGGTGGAAAGTCTCCATCCAGTAATGAAGAGCCAGACACTAGCAGGCTAGAAGGGCAGTCAGATCATGCTGGGCCCAATCCTGCTATTTTACCCTGAGCCCTCTCAGGCTCTGGGGAGAGTCACTCTGATACAATCTCAGGGGGCTGGAGATAGATAAATATCCTTTGTTATTCTGCTCATGGTTAAAGTACTGCTTGGCATGATTAAGGGTGGCAGAATCATGCCCTATTTGAACTTGTCCTGGGGCAAAATATTTGTAAGTACTATATTCTGTAATTCACATTAAGCACCACACTGCTTCTTGGGCAGTTCCATTTAAATCAACCCAAGGAAGACAAAATCTGGCCTTTAACTTGTGTTGTATATTGTAGTGCTGATTCATTCTTTCTCTGTGTTACTTTTCATTTATCCCTATAAAAAGAATGTTAAATCTCTGTCTCTCCAGCCCCATGAGATGTTGCTGGTTTGTACAGCTATAAATCCTACTCAGTGTTTTCTACAACAAATAATTGTTTTCTTCAGAATAAAAGAAAAAAGCTGATTGTTGAACTCCTGTGCATGCCGTTATCTTATCTAGAATATAGCAAACGTTTGTTTAGTTGGCAGATGTGTTTGGCCCTTGCAAATCCTTAATTGTGTAAATGTTGGCATCTAAACAAGAAAGAAGCAAAGGATATTTCTATAACCAATCTTGTGGGTGCTTCTGGATGATAAAATTAATTTACAGTTTGACCTGCACTTTTATAAACAAAATCAGCTATGATTTAGTGTGTGTCTTAATGTTAGGTTGGAAGTTTTAGAGAAACATTGCAACATTTCTACAAATACCACTGCAATGTTTTGATATGCTTGTTTTGAAAGAATAGATTACAGACCTGTAGGGAACAGGTGGGATGTTACATACATAAAATCACAATATAAAGTGTGGGTGTAGGCTCAGAGCCAAATGGGAGATCTTGGTATTGAAGCTTCATTTGATAGATGCAGAAATATGCTTCCAGAAAACAAATGGTCACTCTGCAATGGATTTAAGGATACACTATACATTTCAGAAGAAAATTTCCATCCAGCCTATTGTATAGTTTCAATGTGTGGTTTGATGCTTAAATGATTCATAAAGATGTTTATAGTTTGTGAATACCATTGTAATGCCAAAAATGCTCGCAGAGGAAGTTGAATACTCGTGTTCATAGGTATGGATTTATATAGGGATGAGAAAAATAAATAAAGTGAGTTAAGGCCTTGTTTACAATAAGAATTGTTTGGATACCAGTTGTATGTAGATGTCTTGAAACACTGCCAAAGGCTTGCTCTCCATAGCTAATAGTATATTTTACCATAAAGAGTAATTGGCACAAAGAAAAATTAGCCTTGTGCTTGAAGGTGCTTTTTTAAAGAGTACTTCTGTTTTATCTTTGTTCTTGAGTCAATGTACAAAGAATATTGTATAATAAATCTGAAACATGACTTAGGTGAGGAATAGAAGGGTGGCAGTACATGTTGGATAATTGCTACCAGAAGTTGATCTGACAGAAATCTGTTGGCTTAAAGTTGTTTTTTATTAAAATTGTATTGGAAGGGTACTCGAAATAAACAGGCTGCTGATGTATCTTTCTACCTTTTTGAGAACGGAAAATGTCTTCATCACATTAAATAGCATAGTTCCCTAAACTCACCGTTTTGCATTTTGATGTTGCTAAATAAATGGGGCTGGAAGTGATGGTCATTTGAATTATAGACATGTCAGTTGTGCTAACACAGATAAGTTCCTTCTACTATTTTGTATATAAAATCCTTTCTACCAAGAGTCTTCAGCTCTGCTTCATTGCTCGGCAACCTGGCATAAAATTTCTCAGCCGGAGAGTGAATTTTTAAAAGTGATACTTGGGCCACAGAGAGAGAAATTCCCTCTCAATGTAATTGAAAAACTGTAAATTGTTTAAAGTTCACATAATGCAAGTACAGCTTTGTTTTTTAAAATTAGATGTTTCAAGATTTTGTTGTTGTTGTTGAGGGGATGGGGTAGAAGTGGAGAATGGAAACAGAATCATTTACATGGAATGGGGATGTAATTTTTTCCTGTTTGATATTTATGTAAGAATTTCTAGAACGTTAGCTTGCTGTGTATGTGTGACATTAACACTGACCTGGTTTAAAACGAATCAATAATAATTGCAGATAGGATCAAGCTGGAACACCAGATACAGCACTCACTGAACTTCTGAGAAAACAGGGTTCATACCTGCACTTTGTGGACTGAGCCTTTCTTTAATAATAAATCATTGACCTTTAGGTAGAGCCAGATTTTCAAAAGAGCTTAGCTCTCATTTAGGCACCTACCTGAAGTGGCTGGATTTTCAGAAGAGATCAGTGCCCAGCAGCTGCCATTGAAAATCTGTTCACTTCCTTTAGGTGCCTGAATGGTAACTGAGCTCTTTTGAAAATCTGGCCCTATCTAAAGGCCAGGGATGCCAGATCAGGTGGTCTCAATATTGCCCAAGTAGCAGGAGAGAACATTTTATACTCGAAAGAAACAGGGAGGGGAGAACTAAAAATCTCACTGGTGTGGTTTCTAATTTATATTGGAAGAGCCCCAACCCATTTCCTCCCCATGTTGACAGTGGACCTGCCTAGATGCTCTGTTACATGGGACAACACCTATGGGTGATTGTGTGGTTAAAGTGTTGTGTTGTGAGAGCTGAGTCCTACACCCAGCTCTGCTACAGATGTTGTCACCTTGGTGACACACTATGGCACACTTCCTCAATTGTAAAGTTCAGATGATCATAGTTCCCTATTGCTAAGGAGCAATGAGGCTAATTTCTTTCAGAATGACTGTAACGCTCTAAGTCCAGAGTCCTTATTTACACAATTAGCATGTCCTCAGATATGCTGTGAGGAACATCGTGGAAAAACCCTATATATATATAGGGTATATATATACCCTATATATATATAGGGTATATATATACCCTATATAACTAACTAACTTTCAAAATGCAATCTGATTTAAATACTTAGGGATTGTATAGTGTAATGGTGCCATCAGTTAGTTGACACTGACACCTTACAATGTTACGACTCTTCAAATTAAGAATCTGTATTTAAAAACTCCCCAATTGCATACGTCTCCAATATAGTTCTCCACCATGTCTTAACAGCCCCTTCCAACACAGTGAAGTTCCTTTGAAGTAGTACTATTAGAAATAATCAACAAAAACAAGTGAAAAGAAAATTCACCCACAGAAAGCTGCATTTAAGACTGCATTCATTCTAGGCTGCAGAACCACACCACCAGTGCTCAAGAGTGCTTTTGTTCTTGTAAATATAGTGCTTGTAAGAGATGTTGGCTTCACAGCCCTGGAGACTGTAGTCCTCTGTTGATCCACACAACAGTTACAGCACAGGCATTGGCAGCACTAGCTTTCCATCAATGTGCTCCTGCCCTGACCTGGAAGGACCTCCTCTACATAGGGGAGGCTAGTTCAGTCTCTGTGCCCATTACTACCCGGGTGTGTCTATTAACGTGGTCAACAAATAAAAACCACCCAGCTGGTTTGTGATGTGGATATCTCTCCCCTGGGAATTGGACTGAGACCAGCAGTTCATTTCATGTAAATTACCAAATATCCATCAGATGTTACTGAGCTGGAATGCACTTGAACCAACATCCTATACATGAAAGATATTAATTTCATTATCAGTCCCCCAAGCCATCCCGTGCTTAAGAGGTGACACATGTGATTGATTGTATGCTGGCACAGCCACTGGCAGTAGTAAAAGGATGTCGGTATATCTGCTGGGTAACAGCCAATCACCATGTGCAGGAAATGCAAGACACAAAGCAGGAGGAGGAGAACAGTGGCAGGGAAATGCAATGGGTCTGGAGAGAGTTAAAACAGGTGGGAGGGGAAGAAGTGGGAGAGCAGGCACTGAAGAAAAGGGGTAGAGTAAATGGAGCTTAAAATGGGACAAAATTTGGAGATCCACAATTAAAAATATTCCCACTCTTTGCAAGGCCTTTGAAAGCCAAAGAGCCTGGCTAATTTCATTTCAACAAGTAACATAGTTTAGGCTAGGTCTACACTAGGGGAGGGGATCGATTTAAGATATGCAAATTCAGCTACGCGAATAGTGTAGCTGAATTCGACGTATCCTATTCGACTTACTCCGCTGTGAGGACGGCGGCAAATCGACCGCTGTGGCTCCCCCGTCGACGGCACTT